ATTAGGCATGATCAGTATGGAAAAATTGTGACAAAACAATTTGCTCAAGTTAGTTTAGATGGACTTTGTCTTGTGATAATGCTTAAAAGCCATACATACTATATCATCAGAGCCAAGCCTAAGAAATGTCCATGTCTCTAAATGCCTTTATGTTCATATCCATGCAGCACGGCTTACATAAAACTTGGCACGGTAAATGTACCCGCTCTAGAAGCTGCCCAGACTGTTTATGTAGGTGTTGAATGACATTAGGAATTGCGTAACAACTCAGAATGGCACGAACTTCTTCTTAGCAGTCAGCAGGCAGGACTGCCTTCAAAGGGAATGTCATGGCCATGGGCCGAAGCCAGCACAAGACATATGGGCCTTTCACTTACAGAGCCAGGGCGGGTTGGGGGAGGGGGTATATGGTGGGGTTGTGGGTGCAAGGTCAAGGGCTGAGTTTGCGGTAGGAGGCCCCACTTGCCTGTCCCACTGGCCATAAATAGCCATGAATTATAATAGTGAAAGGAGAGTTACTGCCAGGTCTGTGGCAACGGCAAACTATGTGGAATCCAGCTCAGCGTGGAACTGTTTGCACACCGACTCGTCTAGCATTCAGGGCCGTGTATGTGCACGATCATGTTTCTCAAACTGCTATGCAAAACATTACCTGTCAGTCAAACATGTTTTATGATCAAATACTATAACCACAATTGTAGCATGAGTTTACACAAATAAACACACCTCTCCCTGGTCTCTATTAGAACCAGTAATCTAGTGCCTGCTGCCATTTCTGATATGTGGAAAAATGTCTAAACATGTTCCACTGAACTTTGCTCATGTGATACCTTGAGCTCTAAATATGACACACATTCCAGCAAACGTCTTAAAACTTGGAGCAGATCTGTGTGTACGGAGTGTAGGTGCCGGTTTTAACACAACCTCAGAATATCTCAACATTCCGATAAAACTACTTCACCTAAACCCTTGAAGGATTCTTGAAGGATGAAAACATAAGCATTGAGACCCACCACGACCCTCTGAAGTATTTCAGGTATTGTCAATATTGCATTTTACAGTAAAATGTTTGCAAAACCTGCAAGAAAGGCCAGTTTCCTTGCTAATTAAGAATAGAAAAGGAGTTAAATTAAGAGACAGAAAGAGCAACAAAAGATAAGTAGGCCTAAGATGTCTTATCCAGACACAAAAGGCGGCAGTGACCAAGTACAGGTGCAAAAATGATAAGCTGCATCACTATGGCTACCTGGTCCTCTCTGCTTTAATGAGAGGGTTTGGATGACATGTGATCTCATAAAGGCGTTCCTTTGTTTCTGTTGAACATACTGTTGTGACTCTGCAGGAGAGAGAGAGAGAGAGAGAGAGAGAGAGAGAGAGAGAGTGACTGTTATAGCATAGATGACATTACAGCACCTTCCTCCTACTCTCTGGACTGAATGTTACTGGATAATGCTGTGTCTTTATTTAATGATCTGGTTATACAATCGGGCGGAATGTGATTGTGATGTCTTGAATGTTTTTGAAAAGGTTTCTTTTGCAGGTGTACAAGTGATGAGATTTTATTGATTTATCGTTCACAATGAGCTCCAGCAGAGACAGATCATTCCTCTAGTGCCAAATGATGTACTTTACTCTTAAAATTCAGCCTTTAAATTATTCAGTGCTTCAAGCATTAATTTGGGTAATTTTATCAATTTTTAAGAGACATCTCTTGAGGATCTCTCACACACACATGCAGATTTGCCAGCTCACTGCTTTTAATCTTGTAATCTCGTGTCCACCACACACACTCGTCTCTATCCTCTTTGCTATGTTATTACCTTGCGTAACCCTGCTGTTTATCTCACATCTGAAATATAATCAGATTATGTAACTTAAAAAGAACAAGCTACTACTATATTGTGTTGCACCATAATTGTTCCTGGAACACTTCATATGCTGAGCTGCCACACTAGGCCCAATTGAAATCTTTCAGTCACAGTGATGAAAGCAATCCGGTCACCCTCCAGAGGGTCTGTATTCTGCGAATTTCACTCTGCACAGTTCCAAGATGTAGGTGCGCTACTTAAGGTTTTTCCTGTAATTTGTTTATTGTCAAGAGGGAGGGGTAAACAAATACAACATTAATATTATATATGCACATAATACATGCAAAATTGCACTCCTTTAGTGCTGTACATAATATCTGTATCTCGTCTTGATGAAATGGAATTAGCGACAGATCTTTTCTTCCATATTGTGACGTACATCAGAGAGTAATGGATTATAAAAAAATAAAAAGTGTAGGGTGGGGAGTTTTATGCATGTGCTTTTATCCATCTGTTGTTGATTGGATTTTGAGACGTGGGTGTTGTACCTAAAATTGGAGGCAGGGGAACGCAAGCTTGTCAGAACGGGTTTGAGTGGATGAAATGATTGGAGAAGTCCTGCATATGTTGCCAAACAATAAATAAATAAATGAAACATGCACAGATTAATTGTTCACAATGAGATCTATAATATTAATTTAGAAAAATAGGTAGGGCGAATGTTCATTTCATGCTAACTTTAAAGAATTTAAAAGTGCTGAGAAAATGTGTGGGAGGTGTGTGCAGATATTGCAGTGGCTATGACTGTTAATTCATGTACAGTCACTGTTTTGTGTCTGACTGGCATGTGGTTAATGTTGATGTTTTGTGCTTTTATACATGCCTGGTCATGTTTAGATGCATGAGAGGTCTTGAAGTGAGGGTCACTGGGGTCATAGATGTTTTGCTATGGTTACACTAAAGCATCCACCTTACGTTGAAACACAGAAGTAAGCTATTTTCTTGAACGATTATCAATTGAATTGAACGAAGGGGCGCAATAAAACTATTTGTGCTACAAACCAGTGTATTTCTGATTATGATAATTAAAATAATAAATGATCATTAAAATAATATGATAACAAATACAAGTTTGCAATATCAAGCAGTATAACAGGCTGTTTTTGCACAGTTTTTTTGTAAGTGGGTGACAGCAGAAGGATTACGTACAGTTAGAAAAATCTGGCTGTGCTGATGATGAAATGTACATCCCGCGCACAAGGTTTAAGCACTTGTATTTTATGCTCAACCGACATCACTTGCTGTAATTCGTACATATGCACTTTCCCCCCCTCACCCAGCAGACATTTTCATATTTGAAAACATTTGATTAAAACAGACTTCCTGATGGGACAGCATCTACAGCAGCATGTCAGAAGCAGATATGCTGCGGTAAAGACATTTGAATGTATTTCTAGTTCAGCCTGTGCTTCTTCCCATCTTTTCCATGCTCCTAATATACCCGCTCAGTTTTCTAAAGGTGTGCTTGCTTGCAGCTCTGACCTGAAGCTTTTGAAATTTTCATTTGTTTTCTTCCCAACCCGTCATTTCCAATTACGTATGTCTGCCCATCACGGTGCAGAAAAATAGTTCCCGTTTAAACTTTAATTAAGTACAATAAAGCTAGATTTCTATGTCAGGAGCTTTTGGCCGGACAAAGCCAGCAGTAATGAGAAGAGATGTGGCTTTTTAGAGAGTGATTATTGCTGTGAACAGAGGGAAATGACAGTTTTAGGCAAATACATACTCAGTGACAATCTCATATATCAGCCCTTTGAGAGATAACAGAGAAAAACTGTCAGACAGGAGTGGGCGATTATTAGCCTGGTTGTGGTGACGCAGAGGGTCTATTTTGGTGCTCATATGTGGGTATGCATGTGTAGACATTTGATTAGACAAAAGATTGGATTGATTAACCCAGATTATGGTAGATTGAGTCTGGCAGTTCCTGTGCTTCGATTGTGGAGCAGGTGTTTAAATATGGGTCTGTGATGATGTAAGGCTTTCAGATCCTCCTTGACTAAGCAAATTTATTTTCTGTGACATAACACCAGAGGCCACATGGATGTAGTGAATTTGGTAGTCAAATTTATGTTGGCTTTTGTAAATGACAGAGCCATAACTTAAATCAGTGGAACCCAGGGCAACATTTTTATGGGGCCAATAAGTAGGCTATATGACACCTGACACTTAGTCAGAAGTCTAGGAAACTTTACAGAGCTACATGTTTGATCAGATACCAAGTTGAAGGATTTAATTTATCTTCACATTTGATCCTGTAACTGCAAAAATCACAGAGTAGCTTCCACTGTGAAATATCATTTGTCCAAAACTATACTGCATAGTTGTTTATTAAACATCAAATGATCTTTGATTGCCTGTAATTGTCACGCTTTGCTGTATTTTTACATAAAATGCTGAGTTATTTTGAAAACTGGGGGCAAAAAAAGCTAGATTTTTAAAAACACATTTAGAGAAATATCTCTCTTAATTGCTTGTATGTACTATGACATTCTGAGCAGTAAATATATATATATTTATACTCATATGTACTTCTGTGGGTACAATTAATTGAACAACAAATTAGTCAGCATCACCGATACTATGTACACTAATGTAATAAAGTTTGGGGTCAGTAAGATGTTTTTTTTTATTAATACATTTATTCAGCAAGAATGCATTAAATTGAAAAGTGACATTTAAAGACATTTACATTTTTACAAGATTTCTATTTTCAAATAAATGCTGAAAATAATCCTGACAAATTGATCACAGTTTCCACAAGATTATTTTGCAGAACACTTAATGAGAAATGTTTCTTGAGCACCAAATCAACATATTAGAATGGTTTCTGAAGGATCATGTGACACTACAGACTGGAGTAATGGCTGCTGAAAATTCAGCATTACCATCACAGGAATAAATTACATTTGAAAATATATTAAAATAGAAAACAGTTGTTTTTTAATTGGGGTTGGAGCTAAACTGTGCAGGTCAGTGGCTTTCTAGGATTTCCACCTAAAACTCTTAGGGATTTTTTTCCTTGTCGTGGTCTTTAGATTGCTCACCAAGTATCTCTTTGTCTGAATGTTTCTCAATCTGAATGTCTCTTAAAGTCAAAGTCTTTTCCAAGAACTGATGTCATAACCAAACCAACACCTCTTATCAATACAGTGTGTTCTAAATAACAGGCCAATCAGATATTCTACATGTGGTGAGGTCATCGGCACATGCCTGTTATCTGTTTTAAGAGTCCATTGCCTTGCACACTATCAGCGGAGGCTTATCTCTTTTCACTGCACCTTCAGTGTTTACACACCTGTCTTTAACCTGCCCTGGGGTCAGCTCTGGTGATATGGATGTCAGTGGAGGCCAGTGGATCAAGCTGAATGGGGCCGGAGCTCTGACTTAGCAGTAAAGTCTGCAACGGTTCCAGCTGCTGGACACATAAGCAGTTTGTTATCAGCCAGCTCAGTCAGAGTGAGGAAGCAGTATATCAGGAACATTTTGGGCTAAAGTAATGTGGCACATGCCTTTTGGCACAAATTTGAAGGCAGCTGTTCTAATCTCTAACACTGCCTGCATTTTTAGTTAGATTTGCTTAGTTTTGTTCCACTTACCTTTGTCTGCCCTCCTCCCCCATCCCTCTCTCTCTATACTTCTATTTGTGCTGCAGTGTTTATGGGGGCATGAAATCGCTCTACAGCTCCTGGGTATCTCGTGTACGTCTTCCTCGCTGCTCTCACTGTTTGTCTGCATTTGTTCTTCCTTTGCATTGCACATTCTCAGAAAAGTCATGTGATGCCAGGCAATCCCTCTCTGTAAAAAAATGATTGTAAGATTTAACCTAGTCAGTCTACAGTAGGTCCAATACACTATAAATGTTATGGATGGTAGGAGAAACTGATTCACTGATGCATTGTGATTCTTCTGAAACAATTTAGGATTGGTCTACAAAAATTGTAATAAGGATTTGAAATGAATTGTTAATCATTTGGTTGATTGTATATTTAATAATTTACACATTCACAAATGAATCGCAATGCATCACACATTTGAAATTTGACACACAGTGACTGACAACAGTCACTCTGATGTGGCAGACATGCAGCATTTTAGTGCAGCTTTTAAGGAGAATCTTTACACAGAATTAGCTCCCAAGAATCATTTTGGAATCTCACTGTTACTACCTGATAAAGGGTGTTCTGATCAAATGAAAATGCTGTTACCAGTTTGCATTGACTTCAGGGTGAATAAATGATGACAACATTTTCATATTTGGTTGAACTTTCTCTTTCTAAGCACAGCAGCAACAAAGTGGTTAAAGGGGTTGAGAGGGTGATAAATGGTCAAACAAAATGATGATGTTCTTGGCACAAAAAATGTACAGTACTAATAAACTTTATATAAAATAACGTATGATTTATTAAAGAAGTTGCTACACTATCTTTCAAAAGTTTGACGACAAGATTTTTTAAAACAAATTAATACTTCAATAAATGATCAAACACAGTGAAGGTAAAGACATCTATAATATTAGAAATTATTTCTATTTCAAATAAATGCTGTTTTCGAGAACTTAGAATCCTGAAAAAAATCTAGCATGGTTTCCACAAAAATATTAAGCAGCACACCTGTTTTCAACTTTGATGATAATAATAAGAAATGTGTCTTGATCACCAAATCAGCATATCGCAACACTGAAAATCCATTTTTGGCATCACAGGAATAAATTGCATTTTAAAATATATTAAAATAGAAAACAGTTATTTTAAATTGTAATAATATTTCACAATTTTACTATTTTCATTGTATTTTTGATCAAATACATGCAGCCTTGGTGAGCTTAAGAGACAAAAACATTTTAAAAAATCTTACTGACCCCAAACTTTTTAACTGAAGTGCATAGTAATAGTTTGCTTGAATGGCATGGTGGGTCACAGGGTTTAATGAGCAAGCATGCTCCTCATTGATTGCACTCGCAAACAGTCACGCTCTCTGAATCCTGCAAACCAAGCATGCAGGGTTCACAGAGTTTACACATTCTGCAGTATATTCATATACCCTCTACGACACCCCCTTTGTTTTTAAGGAGTAGATAAGAGGCCCTGAGCCTGTTTCTCCTTGTTTCTCTCCTTCCCGTAGTGAGTGTTGATGCTTTTTATATGCACACAAGCAAATGGACACAGACATACACACACACCCCTTTTCTGGGAACAGTATGCATTTCCTTGCTCATATGCTTCAAAGATAGAGCTTTTCTTTTATGTGTGGATGAACGCATGTGCGCATGAGTGACCATATGCAGTAATGTAGCGTGAACTCCCACATTGCAGCCTATTTGTATACTGTATGTGTGTGTGTGTGTTTATATACACACAATTGTTATTATTATCACTGAAAGGAGCCACTAAACTTGTCTGTGTCTGTGGTTCTACAGTGTCCTTCTCTGTTTCTGCTTTTTATTTCTCTCTGTGTAGAGGCCCAATAAGGGTTACATGGGGTACCAGAAAAAGGGGCCCCTCGCCTTCTCTCTCTTCCTTCTTTTTTTAAATCTAAGTTTGCCTCCTTCTCTTTCTCTCATATTACTGTGAACGGGCGGGTGGGGGTGCGAGGTTACACTCTCCTGTGCTGTGTATAGACCTTGAGGGAAACATACAGTATCAACGTTGTTTGAATACAAACAGCTCATTATACAACACTGTATGAAAGCTGTGTATGGAGAGATCCCAGTCTGCTGAAACACTGGCATTGTAGAGGATATACAGTTGCTCATATGAGTGGTTTATGTTTGCTTCTCGCTGAATGTTGTGTGTTTATTTCCATAGGTCCAAGAGAGAATAAAATAACCACACTGATTGTGGTACTTGGATGCAGTAAAACCGTACAATAACAACTCTGGTCGCTGTGGTGTTGTAATGTAAAAAGCAGTGGGTTTTGTCAAGGTTTGGTATTTGTAAAGTGAAGTACGATGTCTTAAAATCTTGGAAAAAACAATACTAAAATGATTTTTAATTAATGTGAAGTCGTACACTACCCACATTGTGCACTCTTTCCATTAAAGCTACATTAAAAAAGAAAGGGAAAAGCAAACAGAGAAGTAGAGACAGACGGATAGATAGAGATTGGTCCATTGGGAGAGGATTGCTGATGATCTAGCTGGGAATGACATCAGCTCTCAACTGAAAGGGCTTTTAGACTGATTGATTTGCACATATGCGAGTGAGAATTTGACGCTGATGTGTGTTAGCGTTCGCAATATCAGTGCCACACATGATAGTGTGTGCATTATTGGTCTGAGTGGTTGGTCTAAAGTCGTTGCCTTTCCCCACAGATTTTCTTCCCTCTCAGTGCTGCTTGGTAAATATGGGTTAGTGTGCCTTTCCTGTCTCTCCTCTCTCCACTTCTTCCCCCTGTTTGTTTTACTTTTTCTTTTCTTCCACCCAGCTTTTTGCTCCCTTCTATTTTTTTCCCCTCTTCCTGCAGCTGTGCAATGGGATCCAATGATTTTCCAGGAGAACACAAAGGCTTGGAACAGCCAGGCTTTCTGACATGCAGTGTTATGCTGAGTTGTAGTGTTCGTCTGAATACGCTTTCAACCTCTGGTTAATATATTATTGTTATTTTGACTTCATTGTTTTTTATAGGCATGTTGTGTACAGTATGCGTAGTAAAGACAATTTCTCAGTGGTGTGATGTGCAGTGTGAGGATTAGTCTCTAAACTTGAGGCTTAGTCAGGTGGCTGGTCATATGAGCTGACTGAGTGTGCAATGTGTGTATGTACACATACAGTGTGTGCGTAGAGAGCGAGTGGAGATTAAACTAAGGATCACAGTGTAATCTGCTGTGTGGTTACATCAGCTTCACTATCACACCATGCATCACACCAGATTGCTTAGTGAAGAGAGAAATTACACCACGAAAAAGAAAAACAGGTGGAGAGAGTCAGGGGAAGAGTAAAGGCAGATAAAAACAGCCAAGATAAATATAAGGATGAAGAAAGAGCTTTGATTTTCTACCAGTTGCTGGCCAGGATGAGTCTTTGAGGATGTCAGGAGGATGACAGTGTTTTCCAACCTTTTTATCTTATGTATTCTGACAGCCTCCTGTAAGAATACATAAATGAAAAAGAATAGAAAGAAGAGAAAAGAAACAACATTTTTTAATAATTTAAAAATGTATGATCTTGCACACACAGTTCACTTACACTTAAAACAATTAGTTATTTTAATTTGTTAAATATACTTTAGACTTTTACATTATTACAAAAAACTTCCATTTTCAAATAAATTATGTTATTTTAAACTTTATATTAATCCAAGAATCCTGAACAGAATATCATGGTTTCCACAAAAATAAGTAAAATTAAGCATCACAACTGTTTTCAACTTTTACAATAATAAAAGTTTTATTAACATATTAGAATGATTTCTGAAGGGTCATGTGACACTGAAGACTGGAGTAAGGAATAAATTACATTTTAAAAATATTGTAGAAATTGAACACGGTAATAATATGTCACAATAGTGTCATTCACTTCAATTTATAATCTTGCACACAAGATATTTATTTATTTATTTGCTTTTTTAGGCTAAATATCTGATTTATCAAGATTATTATTTACATTTATAAAATATACTTACATTAAAAATAAAATAAATGTAATAAAAAAACTAATATTTGTAATAAAAGAAATTTAAATATTTAAAATATTTTTTCTGTTGTGTTTGTTTTCATGTACATTTTCAAGTAGTCCTTTGGTTGGGAATCGCTGCTCTTTTATATGACCTCCTGATGACCCTGTTTTAGTGTTTGTTGAATGTTTGCGGGTGCGTGTAAGTTTATCCAGGAGTTCATGTTTCTTTGTGTGTGTTAGGGTACACGGAGTGTATATTTGATTGGCCAACACAACCCTCTTCATGGTCCACTGAGGTTTCTTCTTAGTGTTGAACAGGCAAATTTAACATCAGTCAGGTACCCCGTCATTTACACATATAATTTCCATTCTTGGTGAGCAGATTTTTTTTTTCTTTTGTACTTTGTTATTGGCTGACTTGCACTCCTCCCCGTTTGCGATTGGCTGGAAAGTTCAGTGGGGCACTCAATCAGGCGCAGTGGAAGCATATGTAGGTCAGTGTGTAGCTGTGCTGCATGGTGTGTTTGTGTGTGTGTGTGTACCGTGCAGTCGCGTACTCTGGCAGTCCTCCAGCTCTCTCTTTCAGAGTTAGAGAAAAGGGCGGAGGGGGAGGGAGTGAAGGAGAGGACAGAGGGAGGAGTAGACCGTGAGCCCTTTTCTATGCAGTATGCGCATTAACGACACTAAACGCATTAGTGTTTAGTCTCAGATTGGTGACAAACATTTGGAACAACTTTTCTGAATGTAACGCCAAACAGATTTGCACTTCGTGGCCACAGATACTCTTTTAATCCTGTAAAATGAATATTGTTTCCATAGAAGACGTCAACAATGGCTGTTTACTATGACACAACCTCTGAAACAACTTTGCCCAAACCACTACATAAAAAATACACAAGGATACAAGCATCAATCTGTCTCATTTAGTGGTTCTTGCTCTTTTCTAATTAGATGTACCACTGGCAACCTAAACAGACCTTGGAAAGCTGTGGTGTTTTCGAAGGAAGTGGATTTACAGTGAAAATGAGAGTGATGCCAGGGAATGAGGGGAGAAGCAAGCTTTGAGTGTTGTCCAAAACTATACTTCTGAATTTGTCTTTAACAACTGTGCCCTGAAAGTGCCCCGTGCACTTCTAAAGCACTTCCCTCTGGCACGGCCAGGAATTTAGCTTGAGTCCCTAA